CTATTGAAAGATTTTATAAGGCTTGACAATTATGTATATATATATTCATGCATTTTCATTGTAGGTCAGTAACTCAGATTGATTTTGATATTTGAATCAATACAGAAGTATTCAGTCCAGACAGAATTCTCTATCCTACCACCTCCCAAAAGTATTCACATTCTTTTTTTTCTTTAGATTTTTTTCCATTTAAAAAGTATCTTTAAATAGTTGTATACAGGAATTTCCATTTAACAAAGCCATTTATGAATACAGTGTATCATTTTTGTCATACCTTTGTAGTACCTTGAACAGTCTAAAGACATAACACTGGTCCTCTGTAAGTTATAATTGTTTAAAGAATATATTTTGTCTTAAGAATCTAGTGACTATTGCTCTATGTAGAGCAATTAGGTCCTAATTTATCCTCCAAAATCAGAATGAATTTATTTGGTCAATAAAACAATGATGTCTAGCAAGCATCCAGCCCCATGGCTGTGTTGAGTGCATGTGGAGATTTTCCTGTGCTTGCTCTAAAGGTTAGGAGAAGGCTGCCACGACGCTAGTTCACACAGTGGTAAGCGATTTTGGCTTGGAATGCACAAAAATCCCAGCTTGAATTCCCAGTATCATACTGAAAAATCTATTACATACGTATCAAAGATCTCAAGTACGCAAAGACTGGAACACCAAACTACATGGGTTCAAATCTTGGCCATTTACTAGAAGATCTTGTGTGAATTCCTTCATCTCTTTGGCCCTATTTCTACTTCATCTGTGAAATGAGATACTAATACTTGCCTCCTATAATTATCAGGAGTTATGAATAAGTTCATACATCTAAGGTCCTTAGATTGCTTCCTGGCATACTAAATACTCCACAAACACATCATATAAGTTAATAAAATCTAGTACGAGTGACATATAGTGACTGTCATGAAACAGAATCTTTTCCTCTTGAATCTTGACATTAAGGTTATAACCAAGAAAACCATAAAAGCTATTAAATAAGCATTTTTTCTCTCTGAAAATGGCTTGAAGTCATTCTTTTTTGTTCAGAGTTTGGGGAAAGAATAGCGTATATGGTTTTCTTTTTTTCCTGTTCTGTCTTCATCTGATTTTGAGAAATAACTACTACTTCTCTAAGAGAAGTCTAAATTTTTTTAAAGTGACCTTTGCCAAGAAAAAAAAATCACAACTTCCACCTTGATTCTTACCCCAGCTCTGAAAATTTTGGAAGTCATTGACATCTCGCTTAAAAAAAAAACCCTAAATAAAAGAACCACATAACCACATCAAATAGTTCTGAGCTGTGTGCCCCAAAGTAATGATCAAATTGAACATTTTTAAGTGGCACCCCAGGCTGTAGAGAATAAATACATAAATGAGGATTAAAGGAAGACCTTGGAGTCTAGTTACCTTTTTTGTTAATCCTTATGTGGCATGATTTACTACTTAATTTTGTGTTTCTTGAATAAATGTACTTAGTGAAGTTTTAGAAAATTCAAAGAAAGTACTTATCTTGATGACTACCAAGGAATAAAATATGAGTGAACCTGAACTTTTCTTCATAACTAATAAAGCCCCAGAAAGAAGTATTACTTGATCTTTTTTTTTCTTTTTGGTCAGTCGCAGGACTTGAACCATGATCTAGGTGTTGTCACCTGAGCTTTTTCACTCAAGGTTAGTGCTCTATTTGAGCCACAGTGATACTTCCACTTTTCTGGTGCTTCTTTGGAGATTAGAGATGGACTTCTTCTGCCTGGCTGGCTTTGAACTTCGAGCTTCAGATCTTGGCCTCCTGAGTACTAGGATTACAGGTGTGAGCCACCGGTGCCCAGCTAGGTTTTCTTCATTTGCTTATAAATGAACAATTTGCTCATGAGCATATGAACAGAGTGTTAGGAATTTGTGGAAGATTCCCTAGCTATGTGTTGTATCTTACTCTGTGACTGCCTGCAAGAGTCACCATTTAGTCAAGAAGATCTTGGAATTGTGATGGAAACTTTCAAAAATAATTGAACTTGCTCTACCATATAGTATGGTTTGGCTGTTTGTTTTTTTCTCTCTCCTTAATAAGGTTAGTTGGCACACCGTTGGCTCTTAACAACCTGCATTGCTTCTCACTGACTTGAAGGTTCCAAGAGAAAGAGGCAGAACATTTGGTTTACTCAATGGAGAGACTCTGCACCCTTATCCCAGTGCATGGTCAATGCAGAGCTAGTCCTTGCCACTCTAGGTCCACCATCTTGAACATCATGACAGCTGCGTGCTGGTGGCTCACACCTGTAATCCTAGCTACTAAGAAAGCTGAGATCTGAGGGTTATGGTTCAAAGACAGCCCAAGCAGGAAAGCCTGTAAGAGGCTTATCTTCAATTAACCACCAAAATCCAGAAGTGAAGCTGTGGCTCAAGTGGTTGAGTGCTAGCCTTGAACAGAGAAACTCAAGGACAGTGCCCAGGTTCTCAGTTTAAGCTCCCAGGACTGGTACTAAAAAGTATGAAAAACAAAACAAAAACCCTTCACTTTAATGGGACCTTATCACCCCTGACAGAGTTGCTTCCTAGATTCTGAATTCCTTTCATGTGAACTGTTACATGGTGGTCTGATTAGTGATTTGTGAGATGAAAGCCAGATTTTTCTCTAACTTTGGTATATTTTATATGTCCTCTCTCATTGCCATTTTCTTACAACTTCTCCATTTCTCTTTCCAGTTCTGGTATTATTTAGTGTTCCCATACCATGTTCTAACTGAGTTCCTTGTGATAATTTTTAGTAGTTATACAACAAATCACGTGCAGAACATAAGCCATTACTTAGCCAAAGAATGAAACAAAGAAGCACTGCCAAACCCAGCTTCATAATCTTCCTTTAATAAAATTCTACTGTGGCATATCATCTGGTGTTGAGTTTTAAAACTTGAGACTTTGTGTGCCGATTTTAGAGGAGGGAACTACAAGGTTATTGCTTACATGATTTCACTTGCACTTGAACTAAGAATGCAATTCATTTCTAATGTTATCTGCCCCACCTCAAAAAAAAAAAGGCATCAGTGGCTCACACCTATAATCCTAGCTACTCAGGAGGCTGAGATCTGAGGATCGCGGTTCAAAGCCAGCCCAGGTAGGAAAGTCCTTGAAACTCTTATTTCCAATAAACCACCAGAAAATCCAAACCAGCACTGTGGCTCAAGTGGTAGAGCACTAGTACTGAGCAAAAGAACTCAAGGACAGCACCCAGGCCCTGAGTTCAAGTCCCAAGACCACCCCCCCAAAAAAAAATTCTTAATTTGCTTTGCTGTATGACATCCTGTCACATAATAGGTGGTCAGTAAGTATTTGTCGACACACTAGCTTTTGATTTCCTGTATAACATTAAAAAGTACCAAGTTCTCTATGTAATACTATCTGTATGTACGTGATTTGAGGCATGGTCTCACTAGATAGCCCAGGCTAGCCCATAGAGGAACTTGAGATCCTGTAGATGGCAACTAAATCTAAAGAACAAAATAATCAATGCCCAAGAATAGCTTCCTATTTTGTTATTGTAAGAAAGCAGGGAAATGTGACCCACCTGGGAAGGCTTTTTTTTTTTTTTGCTCACAGATATTTGATAAGGTGCAGTCCTGGCTTCCAACTTAGCAGAAAGGCTATAAGCAGGTTGCTTCATTTCTTTGGCTTCCGTTTTCTTCTCTTTCAAATGTGAGAACAGCGTTGAGTGATTCCTAAGGCCCCTTCCAACCCAGAGTTCCAACCTGCCAGTTGTCTGCCTGCTTGCTGCTCTTCAAATGAGTATCACAGTCCTAACAGTGTTGCAACTGTGAAGGAATGGACGTTTTGCTATCCAGAATATTGGCTAGCCAAGATTTTACTGTACATGAATACATACATACTTAAGAGACTAATTTAATGCCTAGGAGAACATTTGGGACTGGTTAGAAACTGTGGAAATCTCCTAATTCTTTGTAAGGAGTGGTGATTTTAGTGTAGATAATTACCATCTTGTTGCCTGATTTGGGGACTAGAGGGGGTTGTGGGAGGGGGGTGTGTGCAGCAGAAGGGGTGTTCAAAGTGATATCCCAGAATAGGTAAAAGCACAAGGCCCCCCAGCCACCACCCCTCGCATCCTCTGTTCCCTCTACTTATCCACTCTGAAAGAGGAGACTAGGCGAATGAGCATATGGCAGGCACTTTTCAGTTGCCAGCCAGCATGGGGCTCCCTATAGACGAGCCTTTTTAAAGAAGTATGCATTGAACTGAGGAACAGGATGAACAGCCCCATCTCCCTTCAGTATTATTTTCATCCTCACTACTCTTCCCCCAAAACTTATAGCCTCCAGTGTACTGGGTGTATGCTTGGTTAGAGGTGAAAAGTTCAAAGGGAAACTCGTGGGTCTAGTGTTTGAAAAGAAGCTTTGCCTGTGTTGCAGCCTGGCCAAAGCAAGCACAGTCCTTGCGAGGACCCTAGGAGGGGCTGTTGGCAGGCCACAGGGCAGGTAAAGGTAAACTGTTAGCTCATCTCATCTCGTGGCTGATCTTTAGACAGGGATGTTATTTTGTAAAAAGACTTTGAAGTCACTGAGCAATGTTCAATGTCTGTGGGGGAGGGGGAGACCCCTCCCCACCCCCAAGAAAAAAAAGTTTGGGAGACCAAAAGAGGGGCTTAGGAGCAATGGGAGTTTAAAAGGTGGGAGGTGCATGTAGCTTGTTTGTTTAAGGTCACGTGATCGTCTGGGAATGTAGCTGCCATGGAGTGCTTGCCTAGCATGCACAAGGCCCCAGATTGCACTCTCAGCATATAAGAAGGAAAGAAAGATGTTCATCCTCTGCTCCCCTTTTGCCTCTCCAGTACATATGGTCTATTTATCTGATCTTGATCTGTCTTCTTCATTGGAGGCAGGCCAGGCCCTGATCTTTAGCTTCGTGGCTAAATCTTCAGTGTCAGCTGAACAGATTTGCTATTCCTGGATATGTTTTAGCCCTACCTCTACTACCATTGTTTTCTCTTCTCACACATGTAGGTGAACCCCACAGCCCAGTGTGCCCAGGCACTCTTGAAGATGATCTATTGTTCCCACTGCCGGGGGCTCGTGACTGTGAAACCTTGTTACAACTACTGCTCGAACATCATGAGAGGCTGTTTGGCGAACCAAGGGGATCTTGATTTCGAATGGAACAACTTCATAGGTGAGCCTTGGATCAATGTGTTTGAATTGCTACAGATGGCTCACCCGCTACACACACACAAGAAATGTTTTAGCTGGGTGCCAGTGGCTCATACCTGTAATCCTAGCTACTCAGGAGACTGAGATCTGAGGATCACGGCTAAAAGCCAGCCGGGGCAGGAAAGTCTGTGAGACTCTCATCTCTAATTAATCACCAGAAAACCAGAAGGGGAGCTGTAGCTCAAAGTAGTAGAGTTGCCAGCCTTGAGCACAAAAGCTCAGGGAACAGCGCCAAGGCCCTGAGTTCAAGCCCCAGGACTGGCAAGAAAAAGAAATGTTCTAATTGCCAACTAGGAAATCACTGTTCGTTTTAGTGTTAATTACTTGGTGTTTTCCAGAGTCTCAACTCTGCTCAATACTTTGAAGTTGGTAAAAATTATTATTATAAGTAAATGTTCCCTTTAACTAAGGGTAGCATTTCTGAAGATGACTAGACACAGTGACTACCAACTTTGAATCATACTCAATTATCTTTTTGATACCTTTTTGCCTAAAGCTCATTTTTAGTTCCACATCTGAACCGACTGGTAGAGTACAACCCTCTCCATAGCAGTAAAAATGGCTTTTCAAATGTCATATAATGGAACCACATTGTCCACAAAACCTGTTCATTCTTTCTTCGGATCCGTAGACCTCTGTGGAAATTTAAGAATTTTATTTCTTTTTTTTGGGGGGGGTCCAGTTGTGGGGCCCGAACTCTGGGCCTGGGTGCTGTCCCTGAGCTCTTTAGCTCAAGGCTAGCGCTCTACCACTTGAGCCACAGCGCCACTTCCGGTTTTTTCTTTTTGCTTATGTGGTGCTGAGGAATCAAACCCAGGGCCTCATGCATACAAGGCAAGCGCTCTACCACTGAGCCACCTTCCCAGCCCCAGGATTTTATTTCTATAGGGGAGTTAGCCATAATGGACTACTCTTGTATGAATAGGAGGACTTTTCCTCTGGTAATTTAAGAAATGGTTCCTAGCCAGGGGCCACTGTCATCCTAGCTACTCAGGAGGCTGAGATCTGGAGAATCACACTTTGAAGCCAAGCTCAGGCAGAGTCTGTGAGACTCTTATTACTAGTTAACCACTCAAGCTGGAAGTGCAGCTGTATCTCAAGTGGTAGACATTAGCTTTGCAAAAGAGCTCAGGGACAAGGCCCAAGCACTGAGTTCAAGCCCCAGGAGCAAATAAATAAGTAAGTAAATAAATGAGTATACAAACAAAACCTGCATATACCTTTCATCTAGGAAGCCATTACTGGAACCCAGATAGCACTGTAAGTGCTGTCCAAGTTCTGAGAGGATTACTTATGATTTTTTTAGCAAAAGCACAATTAAACCTAATTTAAACACCTAACCATCAACTACTTTGCCTACTCAGTGTACGTACTAGTCCTGAGTCCTCCATGACTAGTATTAAAGCCTCCAATGTGGAATGTTAGAGGAATCCTGCACACATGCAAACAGCTTGCAAAAACAAACTCATTTTTCCTCATCCCTCAGTGACATTTGCATAATTATAGACTTGGAGTGTCTTTATAGGAACCTATTTTTCACTTATTTGTCCACATCATGGGAACATGCATATAATTTGCAAGCTTTTTTTTTTTTTTTTTTGGTGGGGACGAATTGAGGTTGAAGAATGCTTTTTGGTTTGCACGAGAGCTAATTACCATATTAACTCTGTTTGAAAGTGCATCAGTAAATTGGCTCCAACAGATTCTTGAGAATACTGACACGGGGGGTGGGGGGGTGGGAAGTGAATATTAAGCACTTCAACACAATTGTGGCCTAAATAGCTCAATGCAAGAAGGCCTAAAAAAAAAAGTCTTTTACACAGAGAAAAGCAGAATCCCATGAAAGGGAAAGCGCTCTCTCCCTCCCCCCCCC